AGTGTGTAGTTAGTGTGTAGTTACTGTGTAGTTAGTATGTAGTTAGTGTGTAGTGTAGTCAGTAGTGTTGTGTGTGTCAGAACAATGAGGCGCCTGCTGAGTGTTGCAGGTGTTACAGCTGTGACACATCTGCTGCTGTCAGGCCTGCAGGTATCAGGCTGATGTTCTCCTTCATCTCATAGTGGACAGAAGTTATTTTTTGGAGCGGCACAAATAATCTGTGTGGCATCAGATTTGATGCAGAACAGCTGATTGTTCTGTAAATAGTTTGAAATGTTTGTTTAAAAAACGTCTTGGCTGCATTTTTAGATAAACAGCTGCAAAAAACTTGTTTGCATAACTCAGTAACTTTTTTGAAGAAGTAACTATATAATAATTGCCCAGCATTGGTCATTATTTACTGTATTTAGCAGACAGAGTTACAGACTCTCTCCCAGACCACAGACTCAGAATACAGTCAGAGCTTTATAAATATATAAAAAGTTCAAGTTATTTTTCCTTCCATCAGTGTTAACATGCTGCACAGGTCATCAACAAGATCTTCTTTAAATTCTCATTGTCAGTGGTCTGAAGCAGTTAATTAAAAGTCGTCTAACATAAACGCTGTAATTCGATTATTTTAATAACCATGTGACTTGGATGCTGGCGTGACCACAGTGCACACGTCTGCTGTTGCTCACAGTGGTCCAAGTGTCGGCTCAGGGAGTTTGTGTGTTCGCTCAGACACACGAAACATTAGAGGGAACATTGTTTCTGACACAGGGTATGTGGTGTACCCTTATGTTATCTTATGTTTACAACATAGTTGCATAAAATATATATATTTAGAAATACCATTACAAATGCATCCTTACGTTCTGCTTAAAGATGAAGAGGTTCGAGCTGAACCCACATGACAAAGAGTCCTTTGGGCCTTTTGGCAAGATACTAAACCCCAAAATGCTCCTGATGCAACCATCAGAGTGTGATGGGTGTGTGCACGCATCAGGTAAAAAGCACCTAAAGTGGACAAAATAAAGCACCGAGTGTTTGTGTGTGTGTGTCTTGTTGTAAGGAAGTGCTTTCAGTTCTCAGCAAAGACGAAAAGTATAGAAAAGAGAAAATAGAAATACCGTCCGTTTACCATTTCACGAGTCTGGATGCAGCATCTGTGTCTATAGTGTGAGAAGCAGCGATCTGCAGGTCAGGCTTTAAGTCACCAATTTGTAATTTAATTGGTGTAAAAGCTGAATTGGCTTTGACATCAGCTGCTTTGATTCTGTGGTTTGCTTTCCCCCTCATTCTTTTCAAGTAATGGTTATTTAAATATTGTCCCACTAAAACCAGTGCAGGAGTTGTGTTCACCATCAGGAGGTGATTGTGTTTCAGTGCTTTAGTCTCTAAGACAAACATGAAGATGAGCAGATTAAGCTGCTGCCTTTTAATGACATTATTCTACAGGAGGTGATACTGTGCTGGGCTTGCTTCTTCACAAATATTAAAATGAAATGTTTGACAATGAACCACAAAGGCTGCAGGACACTATTACTGCTGCAGGCAGCCTTTGAACCATATGCATTCTCCATCACATGGATGATTTCTGCTTTTTTTATGCATTAAAAACCTTCGGTGAAAACTACTTTAGATTTGCATCGAGCATATTCTCTGTCCGGTGGACATCTGATCATTTTAGTCCAATCTAGCACATGAGCGCTTTTATTTCTCACCTGGAAAATATGAAATCTCAGCTACTCATAGTGACATCACTCCCAAATTGGCTTCATTATCGTGGCCAAATCAGAAAATCAAAGAAAAACAGAATTTGTTTGGCTTGCTAGCGAGGTAGAGCAATTTGTACATTACGATCAATACAGCACAATACTTTTCCTTACTATAAAACAGCACATTAGTGGATAGAGCCTGTGATGTGAAGAACTGTACAGATTAAAAGTTTCACAGTTTTACTGATGTTTACGTTCACTGCCGCCTTTTTACTTTATTAACTCGTGTTGGTGGAGCTGCTCCAACTTTCCGAGCTGAGAGGGCGTTTCCGCCTGGGAAAATAATTCTGACTTCATTTGGAACGCACTATTACAACTTGGAAATGATTCTCAAGCCCTGATGTTTCCCAGTTCTCACCTGCACTTCCCACTCCATGCACCAGCAGCAGGATGTGCTTATCTACTTGTCCAACTGGCCGAGAGCCCTCCAAAGAAGACCTGGAGCCCTGAAAGACACATCAAAGATTTGGCAACAGTACTCTGATTTCAAACCTGAATGCAGATTACACCGGTATCCTTTAATTTGTGTGTGACAGAGCATCTCTGTGGGAGGTATACGTACATGGACTTGGCATCAAATGTGCTCGTGCCTCCTGCCAATGTACCAAAACCCTCCCCCGTGCTTAATCTGGTAAACAGTGTGCATGTTCATATTTTGATAGACATCTGTTTGCTCTCTCTGCTTGTGCTAACAAATATTCAGTCCTTCATACTTCGCTTCACGTTGTCCTTTCTGCCCGTTCCATGGGCACAGGATCCTCTGGAAATATGCTGAGAGGAAGATGAGATTTACTTCTGCTGCTTAATGTGAGTGCTTTCCAAAACTGTCCATCAGCCTTTCCGTGAGTGAATCTGAGGGAACGCAGCTGAAAGCGTCTTGCTTTCCTGCCTTATCGACTGCACCCAGTGACTGACAGGCTCGGGTATAATCTCCCTTTCAGAACATCAGATAAGGTGCACAGAACCACCGGACCTGGAATTGCAGTCACTGAACTAAAACTTGCCTGAATTCTCTGACCTTTGACTACAGGAAACTTCCAGAAGACTTAAAATCCATCCCTGGTTTATTAATCCAATTAAGCAACAAACCTTCATGTACACACTGTTGTTTATTATCGGGAGGAAGTCCTTGAAGCATTTCACAGAAGAGTGGGAAATTAAAGGAAGATACTGGTCTCCACCAGTGCTACCCTTCAGCCTCCCAGTAGATACAACTATGGTATCAATTTCAAAAGCCTATCTCACCTTCTTCTCAACTGCATTTTGATGAAGCTCGACCCCTGACCACTGAGATTCAAACTCATCCGAGATTTTCAGTAGATGCACCTATGGTCCAGCTTTAGTGGTCTGACAAGTGAAACTTTTACTCTAAGAGTAGATCTTAGTCCGGGAGTAGATCTTAGTCCGGGAGTAGACTTAATCCCTGTCTGGGAAACTAAGCCTGTGGCCCTCAGAGAGAACAAATTCCAGCGAGATCATCTTAATGGCATAATTGCTGTTTTAACATAAGTCCACCAACCAACAGAAACACATCATAAAATGACACATTGATAAGATTAAGGGAATAGTGCTACAGATAAACTGTGAAAAACGGGATTCAAATCAAGCTGAACAGTCTCATACGTTTGATCCGTCCCAGCCTTCCCTGCCTGGCACATACTCTGCCTCTCTCCTTCTGCAGCTCAGGTTCATGCCTGTGGGCAGGTTTGGCACACCTGTGCTTTACCACCTCATCACCCTGCAGTATTTAAGGACCAGCTCATACACCGACTCTGCCAGAACGTTACAGTCGTCAAAGCAATTTAGGCTCAAATTATGCTCCCAGTCAATTATCGGAGATTTTCCTTGTTCAGTAAATTTCCCCCCGTGTGGCCGCCAGCAAACTGTCAGCCTCATTCCTGATCCTTGCCTCTCTTGATACTTACCTGTCTGCCCACTCTCCACCCATGCCTGCACCTCTCAAACCGACTAAGACTCTGAACAAAAACCTTATCGTCATCTTTGAGTTTTATATACACAAAAACTCTAAATGTTTCAGGATGTAGACGTTTGTGTGGAACCTGCATCTAACTTTGCCTATCCTGGCTTACATCATCACACAGTCCCCACATCTCACAGTGAAATGATCTGTTACTGGTTGCAGTCAGTGGTGAACAGACTTGGTCACTTACTACAGAGTCCTCGGACATCGAAGGCTCTTGACTCCTGGCGAGCCCGATGCAGCGAGGCACGTGGAGGTTCCCGTCCATGTCGGAGTACTTCCCTGTTAGTGACGTTTCACAGAGTCTGGAAAGAGCACGAGGAGGTGCTTCTGTAAGTTGATGTTTTTCTGGATGAGCTGGTAATAATCATGTATTTCAGAAGAGAGAACCATCTCTGCCCGCACCATGACGACAAATGTCACACAATTTGTTGCTGCTTCTCAGGCTATTCTATCTGAAACTCACTCTCAGTGATGTTAAAGAAATGCTGCATATCTGAAGCACATTAGAGGTAAATTACAATACTTACTTTCTGCTTTGCCTGTGCAGAGAAACGCCGATGTGCTGCCACTTTGAGTGTAGATAAACTGCTCTAATCACTCACGCTCCAATCAATACGTGTAGGTGTAACATTACATACGTCCCGCCGCTGTTTTTATCGTCACTACATCACCTCAATAATCTATATAAATACACACATTCACACAGACTGATTTACATGAAACTCCGTATTCTGTTGTTTGTTTCCTGTTTTATTCTCAAACAAGGGATTTTAGCGCTTTTCCTGCAGAACAACACACAATGACACAGCTGATACGATCATCAGCTGATCACCTGTGTGCAGCAGCACATGCTTCGTGCTTTCCCTCTGCACCACATCCAGAGACGTCCTGAATAATAACTGAAATGGAACCACTGTGACTGTCTCAGCTATTTCTCCAGTGACAAACCCTTCAACTCAAAGGTCCGTTCTAAGGAGAGCGACTGCTGAGGATGTGCGACTTAAATAAACAAAGAAACTAAATAGAAAAGATTCGATGCTAATGTTGGGATGACACACTGCTGGTTTGTAAAGAACAATGACTGCATGCCTGTCAGGCCCGATTTATAACACTTGACGACGGTTCTTATGCAAATAAAATATTTTCTTTTCCAAATACATCAAAAACCCACATTTCAATGCCGTGGACTCCACCTTATGAATCAAACAAACACGCACACAAAGTGTTGTGTTTAACTCCAGCAAATCTTTAGTTAAACACAACACAGTAAGTTAACTGACTGTGTTTCACTGTGAAGTGAACGGGGAACTGCGTCAGCAAGCATGAGAGGAAACGCTGGCTCCAGCCTCAGAGTGAACACTGCGATTTGGAAGCTCCTCCATCTGGCACAAACATCACAAAATTGTTTCCTTGCGATGTCCTGTTTGACAGCAGTTCAATTACCAGGAAGTCGGATTTCTCCTCCACCACACTGTTGTTGTAAGAACATCTGTGGGTGGATTTTTGCTTCCAGCAAACAAGATGGAAAAAAGTCAAGGAGAGCCGTGTCACAACAATCTTCACAAAGCTCTCGCAATATAGAGGAAAGTTTATACTGGGAAGTTTATACTGGGAACTTTCTTTGAGTATCGGGGGTGAAATGCTGAAAAATACTTTGGGGACAAAACTGGACCCACTGGAGAAGAAAAGAAGTAACAGAGTCAAACCTGAGGTAGAAGACTGATTTAGTGGAACGCTCCTGGTAGACAAACATGTTCTTCCTGTTGACCACGCAGAAGGCATTCAACACAGAGCGCAGGGCCTGGATCGCTGCGACAGGAAGACAGAAACACCCACGTTTACAGAACAAATCCACTGATTTAGGAACATCATCTTCGCTGGATTGAAACAGAGAAAGATTCTAATAAGCACATAATTGATGTAAATATGAGAACTGCACATCAAGTACACACTCGGTACAACCACAGTCCCAACTGCAGCCCACTGCAACAACCAGCGTCCAACAGGACGTTACAGCAGTCGCTGCTGTGACTCGAGTCACTGCTCTGTATCAACGATTAGTCCAGGCCTCAGTATCATACTGGAATTGAAAAAGTTGGATCATAACCCGAGTGAAAATATGGCAGTGAGCCATGAAAAAGAGCCCACATGTTCCCAGTTAAAGCCAATTAAAATGCATGGATTCATAGCTACAGGTGCACATTTAATAACAGAATTACAAATCCTGTTTTTGCTTTGGAGCCATTTAAATCCTACACAGCGACTCCTCGGAGTAAGAAGAGATTTATCATACACTGAACTGAAATGACTGCACGCGTTTAAAGCCGAGCACGTTCCTCTCACCTCTGGCCACTCCCATGTTGGGTCCCATCTTGAGGCGGGGGTGAATGTGGATGATTGTGCGCCAAACCACATCGCAGGCAAAGTGCCCTGGGATAAACTGCATGGTAGCAGCCAGATAATCTCTGGCCTGGTAGCTCTCCTCTGTGCTGTAGTCTGTGGTTAGAGAAATACCAATATTTACAACTTTATTTGCAGAGGACTAACTGCAAAGAGGCGACATTATAGTGCAACATGACAGAAGACTGCAAATGTCTTATAGGCTCTGAAACCCTTTGTGAGGAATCCCAGCGTTAATATAAAACACTGTAAAACTACCTGCAGCTTGTTCTCACTCACCATCAGCGGTGTTGAGCCTCTGCCTGCAGTGAGGCTCACTCTTCCAGATGTCTTCCTCACTCTCAGCCACCAGCAGCTTGTTACACAGATGGCTGTCGTGCAGGTCCTGGAGCAGCATACGCTACAAAAGCACAGAGTGTGCAAACACCGAGCAGTAGACTGAAAATGCAAGTTTCGATCCTCTTAAATGTCTGAAAATGATCCAGCAATTAACCTCCTAGGACCTGCGTCCACATATGTGGACATCACATTTTGGGTTATTTAGACTAAAATACTCAATTTTGCTCTACAAGGGCCTGATGTCCACTTACGAGGACATTATGCTGCTACAAACAATGAAAGAGACGCAGCTTCGGGTGCTGCAGTAACTACCTGATTCACAACTCTGCACATTTCTCCGATCTTCCTGACCACCATTTGATGCAGCTGTAAGCATTCAGGCAACTCCTGCTCTTCCTCCTTCTTCTCCAGCTCCTCGGTGCCGACCTCTTTTCCCTCACTGAAGCATCTGTAACGACACAACACACCCAAAGGATGAACAGCCGTGATCAAAGTTATGAAAGTAAGCTCAGACTTGTTTTTAGTGCTTCTAGTGTCAGAAAGGAAAAACGTTTGACTAAAAGAAAAATGAAAAATAAGAAAGAGTCAAAGGAAAACAACATTTGTATTTGATAGACTTTCCCTCGTAAAGATAACATCTGGCGACCTCCCATTAATGGCGAGTTGGACACCGTAGTATATATCAGTCGACTGTTGGAACATTTTCCAGGTTTTTCCAAGCGTACATGCATCGACCGAGACCGCCATCACTACCTTCTGATCCAAACTCGACTTTGATATGACAGAAACCGGAAGAGCCACAAAGGTTACAAGAGCTACAGAGCTGATAACTGGGAGCCATCCAGAAATACCATTACACCTGACAACATGACCTACAAACAGACTGTACTGTTAAACAAGAAGAACTTCAAATAACTGGAAGTAAATCTTTTAGCACTGTGATGTTTCATGGATCAAATCCTTTCATGGTCACGAAGCACATACTAGAAGTTACAGTAACAACATGCAATAATAAGGTGAGTGTTTCAATTAAGAATAACTGGTTACCAGTCTGGACTTAGTCTGGAAGAAGTCACAGAAAGTCAGAGCAAAGCTATTCACAGAGTTCATGTTTATAAACCATGAAAAATATTACATGAGTTTAATCTCTCCGCTTCTCAGAGAGGTTTAAAGCAAATCTTTGAGCAGCCAGGTCAAAAAACTATTACCACTAAAAACGAAAAATGAGAAGCTTGTGTAGTAAAAATTGTGTTGCAAATGAATAATGCATTTAATATCTGAGTGCACAAATGTGAAAAAAGAGAAGTGCAATCTGACTTATCAACGTCTACCTCTCTGCAAGTCAGGACTGTCCAGCTCCAGGCCTCGAGGGCCGGCGTCCTGCAGGTTTTAGATGTGATCCATCACAGCTGATTTAAACGGCTAAATTACTTCCTCAGCATGTCGTCAGGGCTCTAGACTAACTTTTTGCCATGGGCGTACCGGTACGCCTAACTTTTTAAAGTTAGGCGTACCGGCACAAAAGTTAGGCGCACACATATTTTATAATAATTTACATAATATAATGTGTTTTTCTGGATACACTGTGCTTTTTCAGCATTCAAAGATTGATGACACCGTGTCAGAGCTGGCTATGAATGTCAGAAGCATCAGGCCTTAACAGAAAAGTTAGCAATAGTTCTTTTCCTATTACAGCTACATCCACTTCTGTCGTGCCTAGGCTGCTCACTAGGGCTGCGTATCATCACTGATTTCTATAATCCATTCGATTCCTGTTTTCAAAGTCACGATTCGATTCAACTTAGCCTCAGACAGTCAGAAATATTATAACTCTGATCATTTATCAGCACTGACTTCATCAGCATTGTGAACATCACAGCAGAGGCCTTTGTGTGAAAGTAACTGAGAATAAAACAGAAAAACATGAAGGAGATTTTCCTGGTCTGGCTTTTTATAGCAGATAACCTTAAAAATATTCTACAATGTTCTGCATATAAAGTTTAAATTTCTTCAGTACTGAACAACAGAAAACAGGCTTTCTTGTCCGAGGACATTTAAGTGAAAAAGAAACAGACAGCAGCCACAGCGATGTAAACAGACTGGTGGGTAAATAAGTGAATGAATAATACAGAAAACAGAGATTGGAGACGGGAACTGTTCCTGAAGTACAGAGAGAGAGAGAGAGAGCTAGCTGTGCATGGATGTGATTTTAATAGTCGTGGAAGCAAAACAGCAAAATTCATGACGACATTGATCAAATGTGAAGCGCAGTTTGCTGCTTCTGTTGCTGCTGGCTCTGTGAATTTTGGTTGGAGAGACAAAACCTGCAGCTCAGAATCAGCGCAAAAAGACGTAATCACAGCGCGGACCGGACGCATCAGGATCGCTGAGCTCCGACAGCGTGTCCGTCTACGGGCCGTCGGGTGAGAAAGCCGAGAAAGACAAAGCTGATTCTGATGCGTCGGTCTGTGTTTACGTCTTTGTGTGGAGTCCGTGTACCTGCTCTCATCTGCTGTTTGGTTGTTGTTGAAATGGTTTTGTGAGCTTTAATCTGAGAATCTGGCGTTTCTGGCAAAACACAGTTAAAAGTCTATTCAGGATTTAATGAATTGATATCGCTTTATTCAAGCTACTCACCTCCCACTTCCACCTGCACTTTCAACTGGACCACGGCCAATCAGAGAGGTCCCGCCCCTGACTATCTCTGATTGGTTTAGTCCACGATAGGGGCATAATGTGTGTCTGTTGTTGACCACAGGGAAGGTTGCAGATTTTTTTTTTGCTACCTGAACAGTTGGTCGCACAGGTGCAACCAAATATTTTCTTTTAGTCGCACCACTGAAAGATTTGCTCGCATTTGCAACCAAATTGGTGGCACTCTAGAGCCCTGGTCGTGAAGTTCCCCAGAGGCCTGGTAATGAACTCATGTGATTCAGGTGTGCTGACCCGGGGTGAGATCTAAAACCTGCAGGACACCGGCCCTCGAGGCCTGGAGTCGGACACCCCTGCTTTAAACGGTTCTGATTTTTCATGTCTATAAAAATAAAAACGGATCCTTAAACAGGGGCTTCTTTGAAAACTTGTTACAGTTGCTTCAATTAAAACCTGTATAGTTGTTTTTAGGTCACTTGTTACTAAATGAATGAAAAATGGGAATCACTAAATGACTCTGACCTGGAGTGGGAGTACACCGTCACTCTGTCCTGGTGGATCTTAACAATGAGCCAGAAGTCTGGCATAAGCCGGGCCTGGCACTCCTGTTCATCCAGGGTGGGGCTCTCACACTCAGAGTCGCTGCTGCCACCATCATAACCTGTCAACACAGCATTACGTCTGTATTTAACATGTTCCACCATTCTTCTGAAGACGCATTGACATGAATTGTCTATAACATAAGAAATAAGACTCTGTAAAGCAGACACTTTGAACCTTTCAGACTGCAGGTGTTTCTATGACTCTCCCCCACAGGGAGCCTCTCACTCAGCTTTGTGCAGCACTTACCCTGCATGTCTGAGTCCAGGCTGCCTTGGCTGGAGACGACACTCTGGACTCGACTCGGCCTGAGTTTGCCGCCACCTGAGGAGAGAAAACAAGAAGTGATAGTGGAGCGCGTCTCTGTTCTACGCAGGTTAAACTACAGAGCTGAAACCTGAACGGTGCACCACGCTGAAAGAATCGGTTACTGTTACAATATCTTCACATTTTACTTTTACACGGACTTTATTTTTTTAACACTTGTATTTATTAAGATTTATTATGCATTATATTTATCTTTTATATGAAGTTTCTTTTTTTACTGACCAACTTCTAAAGTACAAATGTAAGGTGTTTTATCATCACTGGACATGATGATGACACACGTGCAACAAAACAGTGAAACAAGCAAACTTAACAGGTATGAATGTGAAACTCACTGTGAGAGGCCGACTGCACGGACTCAGCCAGGCTGACACTCGAGGGGGTCTTTGGGGGTGAGCTGGCCTCTGTGCAGCTCTCTGCCTGCAGCTGGGGGGTACTGGGCTGACCTCTGTCCCCAACCATGCTAACAGAGTCATCTGCTTCAGGCTTCAAGGCTGCAACTGATTCACCAGCGTCCGGAGTCGTGTCACTGAGAGCATCAGCAGCAACACTGGCTGGCTTCCTGTCCTCACTCTGCACAGAGTTCAAGTAAAAGTTAGAGTCATTCTGTCTGATAAACTCCTGCAGATAAACTCTACCAACTACACGTCTTAAAATTTAACCTGATTTATTTCTGATCATGGATTTATGCTGATGTCAATAATAACATAAAAACAAACTGAATGCACAGCTGGACAGATGAAGGCTGATCTGCTGTATTTTCCCTCCTCTGCACATCACAGTCACTGATGTATCTAACCTCACTGTCGGCCTGAGCTTCTGCTTCGCTCTCGAGCGTCGTGGTCTCCGCCTGAGCTGCAGCACTGCAGGATATGGTGGCGGCAGCAGGGTGTTGTGGGGGGGATGCAGTGCTCTCAGACAGCCTCTCGGTCTCTCGGATCCTCTGAGGATGCAGTCTGCTCAGAGACATATAGTAGAAGCCGGCCTGTTCTCCATTTAACACATAGCCAGAGAAAGACATCCTACGAAACTCCTGCAAGATAAACAAACGTTGTCCTTTATATTCATACATCCATCTATACAGAAATAACAAACCTCTGTGCATGCCTGTGAATCAGCCTGTAGGCACATATGCAAATTAAAGATTCGTTAATTAACTCCTATCATGTTCTCATACAAATATGTGCAGACATGTTTTTGTGGAACATTCCTGGAGAAACTTTTTGTCTCAAGTTTAAATCCTGTTTGTTCTTCTTGCCTCTTTGAATTTTTCCAGCGACTGTTCAGGCCCAAAGACAAACTGAAGCGGGACTTCCTCACAGTGACAGTGCGGTCGACCGCTGGAGCGTAAAACGTGCTCCGCCACTTTCTGCAGCGTGGCCGGGCCGATGACCCGAGAGTGACGCAGAGCAGAGACGATCTCATCCTCCAGCAGCCAGCGGATCTGAATCACACCGAGAGAAACCAGGATAAGAGCAGCACTGCTAGAGTGTGTGTGTGTGTGTGTGTGTGTGTGTGTGTGTGTGTGTGTGTGTGTGTGTGTG